GGGGGTGGGGGTGGGAAATAGAAAAACAATCTTCAAAGTTACTTGTTAAATCGCATGAGATTTATGTTTAAACCTTCAGCGCCTTTCCCACTGCAGTTTGCGTTCTTCTGATCATCCGTTGTTATACAATTTTATCAACAACAACGACAGCAATTTACATTTATATTACCACCTTTCATGTACTGAGGACATTGCAAAATGCTTCACAGCTGACGTGAGGGTGCCTGATGTGGCGGGGGTGGGGGCGCAGGGGTTGGGGGGGGTGGGGGTGCAGAGGAGGGGAAATTGTCCAGAAGGGCAGTCGTGTTTTGAAGACTGCGAGGCAGGGAATGAGGCGGAGAAATTCTGTGAAACAATTTGTAAGAGTGGGGACAGAACGACTGAGACGTGGGAGGTTAAGATTGACGAGAACTAGTCTCCCCACGTGCATACACACCCTAATGCTCAAATCAATCTGTGAGCTTTTTATGTGAGCTTTCCAGGAAGCTCACATAAAAAAATGACAATGTCTTAAAGGGACAATTTAATACACCAGCAGGTAGAAATGGGAATCAATAGACAGATGTGATCTTTCCATTTTACAACTTCTATCGATGCATTTGAAACCTTCCCGGTTATTTCAGTGGAGGGATTTGGATCCCGCTAATTTATCACTTGTAAACCTTTCTCTACAACGATCTGGAATTAACTCTGTCTGCTAATCCACATGCGCCTCTGTGGAACAGCATTGTTTGCCGCTTTTGCCATTCTGCAAAGTACTCTTTGTCGACTGCTGGGGCTGAAATGATTTCCAGAGAGAGAAGGAAAGCAGCAGCAGTTTGGCAGCAGGTGCCTCCGACGTAGTCGATTCCAGACTCGTCACCCTTATCAAGCTTTGCTTTGCTTGGCAAGAATGCTTGATAAGGATGACTGTCTGAATTTGGCTTTCATTTCAAGCTGTTATTGTTGCGTTTAGCTGATTCGTGTTCTGTTGAGTCGAGAATCAGAGATGATGTCCGCGCAGATGATGTCCACAGGCAATCTCAATGTGAGTTAAGAGTGGAAATAGAGAAAGTGATGCAAGTTAATGTGATGGCAGACAATTATGGCACTTACAATCAATCCAGAAACTTTGGGCTTCCCGTGCTGTGATTTGCAAACAGCGCACAAAGACCCGGGGCCCAGGGTAGCGTGTAACAGGATTGTAGAGGAGGGGTTGCTTTTAGTGCACGTGCAGCGGAGGAGGGAGTCGGTAGCAGATTCCGTGGAGAAAGCGCGGCCCGCCCGTGTCTATCGGCTCAGGTTGTGATCCAGGTGCGGTCGCAGGAGGGAACGTGGCATTGTTTCCAGTCACGGGGCAGCTTGGAGTGGGAAAAGCAGCTGTTGCGTGCTCTGAGTCGCCCTTACCCAGGAATAAGTGTCTAAACTCCCGGTCCGAAACTCTTGTCTGTCCAGAGCCTTGAGGCGGTCCTCCCGATGTGAAAGACGCCATATCAAATGCAAGGATTATTATTATTATTACACAAATGTCATTGTGTTGTTGTTGGTGTTGTTGGTGCTGTTAATTCCAAACCCCCCGCCCCCCGTATGTGTCCGTTTCTATGCTCACTGCCTGCTAACATCCACGCTTGAGATTACAGTCCCTCACTATATCGCTATATCACGGTTACACACTGCACAGCTGCAATTTTTTAAAGACCAAATCTTTTTTCAGTTAATCTTCCGCATATTTTAAATGTGAGCAAGTGTCTAAATAATTGAAATGATCACAGCAGGGGGTGAATGGCTTGAATTGGTGCTTTCTTGGCTGAACATGCACCCTTTTTGTACACTGTACATAAAAGGTTTTATATGTGTATTGTATATATAGATATAATTGGCATTCAAACATGAATTGCAAAGAAAATTGAAAATGCTCTTGATTCAGAATCTTCAACATGGAGATTTGTACCACACTTTCTTCAACAATGAGAGATAGTGTGAGAAAGTAGAGACAGAGACATCTACATAAAGTATCTGTCTGATTGATAGGCACAACGGACCAATTTCTAAGCTGGGCGCAGGCTTGTCACATTCATGATATGAATAATAATTCTGAATACAAGTAATAAATCAGATCTGGATAAAGTCCTGGCCAACAATCCACCCCTCCTCGCCCCCCCCCCCCCCCCCGAATAAAAAATAGTTGGTCACTCACTCCATGGTTGCTTTGGGAATCTAACTTAAGAAGAACTTTTAAGTACAATTTCTGTGCTGCAAATAGGAAATTGAGGCAGAGAAAATTATTGGGAAAATGATTATTTGTGGCCCGAATTTCAATCTGTGGATATTTGTAAACAACAACATTTTTACCATCGGTGGTCAGACTTTCAGCGTATCTGCCTGCCTCTCTGAACCTCCATCCTGCTGTACTTTCAACTCACCCCTTCCTTTGCCTCTTTAAGTTCCACCTCATCACATTCCTCTTTGACTGTGTTTTCAGCCATTCCCCCCTCCCCTGCCCATGTCCTCACCTGAACCTCTCAACCCTACCCACGCCACAGCTCGGGTGTAAACTCTGGACTCTCCAGTGCCTTGAGATCCAGTCCCAACATGAAAGGCACTTATATAAATGTAAATATGGAGCCAAGGGACGGGGGAAGAGTGAAAGATGACCAAAGGCACAGTCAAACGAGAAGCTCTTGAGACAGACCTCGAGGGAGGCGGGGAAGGGGCGAGGCAGAGACACTTCGGGATGGAATGCTGGAGGGTGGGGACAGCAAGGCTGGCCACCGATAGTGGGTCAAGCAGAGTGAGGGATTGGAAACTGCTCAATGCCTGCCGAGTGGAGGAAGCGGGCGTGTTATTAAGGCTTTAAAAGGTAGCGTAAGCCGGGAGTGATTTAAAAGCAAAGACTTGACTTCAGTCGTCTGGGAGATGGGGAGCCAATGGATCCGGTTGAGGATGGGGATGATTAGCTCATAGAGCCTAATGTGGAACCTATTGTTATTCAAAAGCAATACTGTTACATTCTTAAAGGGTTTCACACAATATTGTTTACCATTGGCATTAATGTCGTCTCCATTCACACAGTGCTTCTGCCGTGGAATTGAGATCCCCAAAACTAATTGAACCCTGGGGTTACGGCCTCATGATTCAGTTAGTTTGCTATTTGCCATGTCGGTGTTTGTACACCGTGACTGTGTTTAAACATTCATTTAGTCAGATGTAAAAGACTCACTAGTATAAATTTGGATCATTTCCAACTTGAAGCCATTTTTGCACATGAGCTTCACAAGTTCCAGCCCTAATTATTTTCCTGCCTCAACTCGCCAAGCATTAGAAATCAATTTCGGCCTTTACAAATTATATTTCATCCACTGGAATACTTCCAATCCGTCTCCATCTATCTTTAAATCCCTTGAAAACCTATCTCTTCGATCAGGCCTATGGTCAGATTCCCCCCTGTTGCCTTGTCCGGTGCTCAGCCCCTCCATTTGAGCAGCATTCCAAGATGCTATTCTACGTGAAGGGCACCATATCAACGCAAGCTGTTGTTGTTTGCCTCACTTGCTTTGGAAACTCTCCGGATCAGTTAAAGTTCATAAAAATATGAGGTGACTGTAAGAAACATCTAACCTATTGGTGAGGAAGGCTTGGATAAAGTATCTAGCAATGGAGGTGTGGTGTGGGAGGGCTGTAATGTTCCAGCAGTGGAAAATGACTGTCCTGGTGGCTGTGGCCAGTTGATCAATATAGAAGAGCTGGACAGGGAGTTTGGAATTGAATCCAATTCCGATTGAATTCTAATTGAATCATCAGAAACGAGATGGATTCCGAGAGATCAGAGCCAAAGAAATGGATATCGGGGAAAAAAATGGCTATTTTGCTGTCGGCCTGACACATGCTATCATCCTGCTTCAGAGTGTCCAAACCAGACTGTTGTTTGTGAGCTACACATGGAAATTTCTCTGTGCCTGGAATGGAATGAACACCCTCTTTTTCCTGTTCACATCGAGAGGATACCCCAAGGTGCTGTACAGTTAACAGTTTGCACCCTTGGTTCTTACCAACCTGCATCTAAACTCTTCGGGATTAAGTGTGCAGGTGTTGTTGTCTCAGTTCCCCCCCGCCCCAGCCCCTCCGACGGAGAGTGTGTGCATTATATTCCAGACACAGAGACATTTTCATATATACGTGGAACTCACAGCAATTTGTTTTGATTTTGCTTAATGATGATGATAGTTTTCCCGGTAAGTCAGACACCTGTTTGTGGGGGGAAAGAAAAATTCAATGGTGTTAATTGACCTAACTGAAGGAACTTATAGGAACTCTGTGATTATTCCACTCGGGAAAAAAAAACATAAAGTATGGACAGGGAAAGAGAGAGGAGAGGATTAAACTGGGGAATTTAACACCAACACATATTCCACGGGCCAAATGATTTCCTTGTGTGCTGTAAACTTTCCATGATTCATCTAACTAAAGCTTCTGAAGTGAATATAATAGACTGTAATAGTCCACATATTGAACTGTAATAGACTGTAAACAAAACCACAAACACACACACAAACTCAAACACGGGGAATATATCTATAAATAGAATAGTGCACTATATCATACTATAAGCAACATAGTGCCAGTCCTCATCCCCTTGTGACTGTCTTCCCCTTTGAAATAAAGACAACGAGACCACACATTTGTACCACTTGTTTCAATGGAGAACCATTGCACTACATTTTAACCATCACATCCTTACCCAGTCTTCAGCTTTCTCAGTAATGAAGTGTTCGCTTCTCACCAGATCACAATATTGCTTTATCTGTTGAATTGTGTCTCTTGGCCGTGAAAGCCCTTCGGCCCGTGTGATCTGAATGTTTCCTTCATCGAAAATTCGACAGGGAGATCCAATTCCTTTTCATTCCCATCTCCACAAGTTGAAAGTATTTATTTCATAAAGTCGAAGTTACAAAGTTAAAGTTATTTTATTACAAGTATCTTACTCACAGCTGTGTTCCTATGTTTCTTTGCTCTTCTTTCAGCGTGTGACCTGATGAACCAAGGCATTTTAGCGCTCATCAGCTCCATTGGCTGCATATCGGCGAGTTCTCTCCAATCCCTGTCTGATGCCATGCACATTCCTCACCTCTTCGTACAACGGACAACATCAGGATCACCAAGGAGCGGCTGCGGCATTAACAGGACCAATAGGAACCAAAACTACACCCTCTCCGTCCGTCCGCCGGTCTATCTGAACGAAGTTATTCTCAGGGTTATTCTGGAATTCGCTTGGCAGAAATTCATCATCTTCTACGACAGTGACTACGGTAAACCATTCGATAACCACGTCTAACTTTGGCTTGACTTAAACGATTATGAATCAAGTTGAGTTTTATATGTTTTAATTCATGAGGCTATTTCCGAACCTTGACCACAATCGCTTACATCAATGACACAATAAAGATCAAACCAATCCTCCTGTCGTCCCACCTGCTTAAAAGCCTCAGCCTTTCACTATCCAAGAAAACATCATTTCACTTTATAAAAAAAATCTTCCACTATTATTTAAAAAGTAGGAATAATTAATAAAACAGCACTGAACATGTACAGCCAGTCTATTCCATTAATTTAAATTTCTCGAAACAGGACTACACTGGCAAACTGAGAATTAAAGGAGGGTTATAAGGTAGAGACTGCTGGAGTGAGGCACATTAAAAATAGGAGGGTTTGGCTTCCAATTCTCCCAATTCACCCCTAACAGGTGTGGCCCTCAAGCTGGCGTACGGTTCTACAGTCATAGCAAGTTGTAAATGTAAAAGTGGCAATATTTCTTGTGTGTGCGTGGACAGTGAGGGTTGACAGACTATACGACTGGAGACAGCAGCACAGCCTATCCCTACGCTATTCTCACTAGATGTTCACACACACACACACTATATACACACACACATACACGCAGGTGAACAATAGGTGTCAGTCATAGGGATCAGGAGCTAGAGCCGTTCCTGATGTGCTAATTGTAGTAATGCCCAGCTCCCTACGGACAGCTCAGCGAGCACAGACTGGCAAGAGAAACACGACCTTGTGGTTTGCAGGATTTAGCGTACTTCAGGTAATGCCTTTACATATTGGGACCCAAAGGTTTTAATTTGATACTAAACGTTCAGTTCCTCCAGATATATTCTTCCTTGCTGGCACTTGTGCCAGATGGCACGAGGGTTCACATCAGAAGATAATAACTACAAGATTTCTCAAGCTGGTCTCCAGGCGCTTTTACAGTGTATTAGTACTCATTTGGTTTTCTGCCAAGATCGAGTACATATATTGACTTTGATGTGGCTCAGTAAACTTATAATTAATACACGTTTGACTTCTAACTGTTCATTCTGTATTTGTAAGAACCTTATAATCCAGTATGACAGATAATTATGAAACTGTGTAAGGAAATGTTTTTTTTCCAATTAAACCCTGATGGGTAACTGTCAAAACGAAATCCAAGAGGCACTCACACCCACTTCAGCTACGTTCGGCTTCTGAAACATTTGTTTTTTTAATAGATTGAAGGACATTTTTAATTTTGCGTATTCAAATTAGCTGTTTTTGAAGTAAATGTGTCAGTCATGTTCTACTTTCCCTGACGCCCTGAGCTGGGCCTAGAGACCACGGCCTTGAAATTATGGTGGAGAACTTTAGAAAATTCTATTTCAATTCGGAAACTGGTTTCAAGCAGTTCTTGAAAACAAAAGACCTGCCGTCCATTTGGTCAATCCCAAAGAAATACGATGTTACTGTATAATATCGCTGACATTTCAGGAGCGCCCAGTCTATCATTTTTTTTCTCTACCATTTCACATTTGATGTTAAAACTGAGAACGATTTTGTTTTCTCTCTGTTGGGGTTCAAAATGAATACAACGGCAGATCTACGATTCCACGATACACTACCCGTAGAGTCACGTCTTTGAAGTTGCATAAAAGGGAATAAAAGAAATGGGAGAGAATTTCAGTTCAGGGTGAAAGGCATATTGGAACAGACTACCCGCACAGTTGGTAGAATAAGAAAGGCTTTCAAAGGGAACAAGACAAATTCCTGTCAACTGAAGACATTCAAGGTTATAAATTAACTTGAGCGACAGATACATTGAAAGATTCTCGTGGAGTATTGAATGTGTAGCCTACATGCTCGTCTTTCTCCTCCCGCTCAAGCTGTTTCTATAACTTTATTTACAATTTAAAAATCAGAATTATTAAATAGAGGAAAAGGACTGTCCAGACCCCAGCGAGAGTGCATCCTGATGAGAGTTGATTTGTGTTGATAGAACTACAAGCTACGAGGAACAACGAGACGACCATCTAAAAGAGGACCTTACAGAGACCTATAAGATTCTGAACGGGAATGGGAAAGGAAACACAGAAACAATATATTCACATACTCTACAGCAACTGTTCAAAAAGGTTCAAAAAGGTTCAGGTTTTAGCTTCTAAAAGGAAAGTTTAGGACAAACACTGGGAAGCATTACTTTACACAGAAAATAAATAGTGACGAGAAAGAGCAGGAGTTTGGGGTTTGCATATACATCCCCAGTAGAGGCTGGCATCAGAGGAGACTTAGTGTACCGAATAGCCTCCTTCAGTGCTGTAATATATTGGGAATCCCAAGTAATTACATCGTGTTAAAGCCACGGTAAACAGTTAAAGTTAAATCAAAGTAATCGATTAAATAAATGAAAACTTGACAAAAAGCGCCTTCCAATAATGAAAGCGTTATTGATGGCAAATGACATTGATTGATGTAACATTTCATAATCTGCACAAGTGGATTTACCTTCTGCAATCATAAAATTGATTCTAAAAGTATGGAAATCAAGATAAATTTCAGAGTAGGATAGAAGAGTGATATTCATTGATAATGATTTTATTGGGAGATGCTTTAATTTTTCAAGAGCATTAGCTTATAATTTAGGTTGGATAATTGCTCATTTGAGAAACTAGGAAACGATGGAATGAAAATAAAGACCTTAAACATGTTACAGCACTTACACTGAAACTGCCCTATTGAGGTTAAAATATTCGACCGGTGTGGTAATTGCAATGTCTGATTTGCGGTTGAAACTGTGGGATTTGTCACCAAATTGTTAAGATCCTAAAGGATGGATAAGCCCGTTTTCAAACCAGCATTATGCATTCCAATCCTTTGTTGAAATATGAGTCTCTTTATGGCCAGATAGTGCCCTAAAACAATCACAAACTAAAAGCCACCATTAGTGCAATGCTTTCCAAGGGTGAATCTTGCATCCAACTTCATCCAATCTACTCTGCCATGGCTGTGGAGGGGTGAGATGCCCAACGCCATTCCAAACGTACCCTCACGGTTATCTGTACAAAGCTGGAAGAGATTATTTTGACTTTTAAGATGATTTAGGGATAAGGAAAATGGGGGAGAGACGGAGCTAAAGGGTTGCCGTATACCCAATGGCCATGGGTCAAATTGCTTGCTCCTCTTCTTATGTTCCTGTGCCCTTTTGATGCAACCCTGCATTTGATTAACTCTGTTGGTAGTGCATACACGTTGATTGGAAACTTACAATTGCAACAACAGCGACAACTTGCAATTAAATAGCGCCCCCTCGTGCAGGGTAGCATCCCAGGATGCTTAATTACACGATTATTTACATTCCATTACCTTCCAGTTGGCATAGTTTCCCGGTGAAACACTGTACAGAATATTCCGATTTCCTCAAGTCAATGCAGTTCACAATTCAATTACCTGACAAATTGCCATGAAGAAACAGCATGATTCGCAGTGTTACTGTGTCACAGCTCAATGAGCTGTGGTGTAATATTTTCTCTATAGCACTGGTGAAGCTGCACATGCTTCTCAAGATTGCGAAGAAACAGATATGCCAATTGCCGAGTGAGGAACTTTCCATTCGCAGCCCGTGGGACTGCCTTATTGAAGAACTGGGCAATCCATAGCTTTCTCTTCTCAATTCATTGGCGCGGGTGACAACTGAGCTTGAAGCAGATCACAGTTTCATCTAAAAATAATAGTCTTCAGCTAGGTTGAGTGTGAGCCCGGCCCAGTTGATAGCACTCACCTCAAGTCAAACGGTTGCAGGTTCAAGCTGCACTTCACCACTTGAAACTCGTAGACTTCAGGCTGACACTCCAACGCAGTGCTAAGGGTGTGCTGCATTGTCAGAGTTTCCGTTCTTTAGATCAGACATTAAACCGAGGCCTGTAGAAGTTAACGTTAAAGATGCCATGGCTATTTGAAAAGAGAAGGGAGTTTCTCCTGTTGTCCTGGCGAGTAATCCCCCCCAATAGGATTGGTCTTTTATTTCATAGTTGTTTGCGGGACATTACTGTGGTGCAAATTAACTAAACACAGTTACTTCTGCGATATGCATTAGAAGTCCCTTTGATTTAAAAGCCACTATAGCAAACGTGAAGGTTATTATTATTATTTATTATGACCGCTTGCGATGGCGTGTGGGTTAGCTCTCAATGAGTGAACTGTGGCATGCGGTTGATTGTGAAATGAGGTTCGCTGAGTTCAACAGTCATCTCGCATTCCAGCTCGGTGTCCAGGAAGAATGTTCCTCGGGGAGCATTGACTGTTCTGTTATCGTGTCTAGGCTGTGGTAAGGAGGACGCTGGCGAACCTCTCACATATTTCACCTGAGTTGCGCTGCTCACCATTAAGGCTCAAAGGGAATTTCTAACGCCTGCTATTCATCATGTGAGGCCTCATTCCTTTGCCTGTCAGACGTCTAATAGTCAGCAAGTAACTACCTTCCTTGGAGAGGGATAAGCAAGGTCTCGGTGGGACAGAGCTGGCTCCAGGATGATGTGACTGACAATGGAATATCGGAATCAATTTCATCCTCTGTGGCAGTGTAGGTAATTCAGTTTCTGAGCCAGGCAGGTCTGCAGAACTCCAAGACATTGTTGATAACACCCCAAACAGTCTGACTCGCCAGCAGGACTTGGAGGAGCCTACCACTCCCCTTAGCCAACCTGTCAACCCACGCCTATGCTTTCTGGGATCAACTGAGCAGGGTAGGTCTCACCGGGGAAGGCTGGCTGAGAGGTTTCTCTGTAGCGGGCGGTTAGAATATGGAATTCACTGCCTCAAACTAGAGTTGGAGCACAGTCCATACATTATTTTAATAGAAATTGGACGGATGCTACCAGAGGAGAATTACTAAGGGTAGGAAAAGCAAGCAAGTGAGACAGATTAGATTAGATTAGATTAAATGGCACATGTAGGGGAAAAACACACTGGTTGGTCTGAATGACTTAGTTCTGTGCTATAACATTCTACG